GATTGTACAAACTGTACGAAGCGGCAGAGTACCTCTATAATAAAGGCATAGGTCACGATCGGAGAGGCGATGAAGCCACGGCGCAAACATACTACGAACACGTATCGACTCTCGTAGACGAAGGATTGTTGCACGCCTCTGCATTGACAGCAATTCAGATGAGTCAAGTGCACTCGAAGGTCGAAGATATGAAGAGGTGGAAGGCATATCTGAAGAAGATATTGAGACGATCCGATCCGACTCCCAAGGGCAACCTCGTACGCTTCGAAGAGCAGATCACAGGAGAGATCATGCAAGCGAGAGATGATACCACGTTCAAGGATATCGGAGGTATGAAGCAAGTCAAGATCGCTCTCACCGAGATGGTCATACTGCCATCCGTTCGGAGCGACATCTACACCGGGCTCAGGACTCCCCCGAGGGGTCTGCTCCTGTTCGGTCCCCCTGGCAACGGAAAGACGTACATCGCACGCGCCGTCGCGAACGAAGTCAAGGCGACCTTCTTCTCCATAAGTGCGACCTCGTTCGCGTCCTCCCGGGTAGGCGATGCGGAGAATCTCCTTCGAGCTCTGTTTACGGTGGCTCGGAAGAAACAACCTTCTCTCATATTCATAGACGAGATAGACAGCATCCTCACGAAGAGGTGCGAGAACGACCAGGAGTATACCCGCAAGCTGAAGACCGAGTTCTTCGTCCAATTCGACGGGGTGGCGACCGACAAGAGCGACAGGGTCACCGTCATAGCGGCTACGAACCTGCCGCAGGAGCTGGACGACGCAGCTGTGCGACGGTTCGAGAAGAGGATCTACGTCGGCTTACCAGATCTCACGACCAGACAGAAGTTACTGGAGAAGCATCTGCAGCCAAACATTCCGAATCCTAGATCACGTAAACTACCGAACGAGCTGAGTGTCAATCAAGTGCACGGCATCGCCGCCCTCACGAAATGCTACTCCGCGTCCGATCTGAATTCACTGTGCAAAGAAGCAGCGATGATGCCGCTCCGTGCCCTCGGGGCAGGGATCCTCGATGTCCCGGTAGAGAGAATAAAACCGGTCAAGTTCGAACACTTCGAAAAGGCAAAGGATGTCATCAAACCCAGCGTCAAGAGAGAGAGCCTGAACGCTCTCGAGAAGTGGAACGCTGACTTTGGATCCTTTCCGAACAAGGAGCTGGACTGAGTTGCGTACAACCGGATGCCGTCCAGAGGCCTCTGGGCATTCATGCAGATCCAGGAATAAGATCTCACGTAAGATTACGCTATTCAATGGAGGTCAAGAAAAGAAAAGACGAAATCTTGGCATTTCTCCCAAAAGTACGAAGGTTCCTTCAATGGAGCACGACGCAGATAGTACGGGACACACAATTGCCTCTGCGTGTCTGCGTCTTCTTTAGAGCCTATGTTTCTGACGGTCATGCTAGTGCAGAACAGTGGTCAATAGAGAATCCAGTAGTCCCTACTTCACACATTACGCCGTGGACTAAGCCGTGGAATCGTTTTCCGCGACCGCGAGTTTGGAGTTGTCAGAAGCAGTGGCCAAATAAGGACTGGACATCTCATGACAAACCAACACTTGACGAGGTCATGGCCCAGATCGAAAGAGATCTCCGAAGATGGCTAGAAACCAGACGGTATTGGAGGATTGAGGTATGTTTGCATAATGAAACCAAGATAACGAGTATTATTATTTTGTAGATCCTGTCGAAGAAAGACGTTACATGGCTAGAAAGGCTCAAAAGGAGGCCGAGGAAAGACGCAGGCTGGCAGAGCTCAATGATGAATTTAGGGCAAGTGAAGCTGCCAGGCAACGGGAAAGGAACGAGGCTAATCGCAGGAGGGCAGAAGAAGCCGCCAGGCAACGGCAAAGGAACGAGGCCAATCGTAGGAGGGCAGAAGAGGCCGCCAGGCAACGGGAAAGGAACGAGGCCAATCGTAGGAGGGCAGAAGAAGCCGCCAGGCAACGGAATCGGAACGATGCCGCCCGTTGGAGAGCAGAAGAAGCTGCCAGACAACGGAATCGGAACGACGCAGCACGTTGGAGGGCAGAAGAAGCC